ATACATGCATACTTTGTGTATGTGTAGGACTACTTCTACTGAACACTATAGTGTTCTGCTTACCAGCTCTAGTGCCCATTTCCTAACAGTTTAATATGTTAGCCTCATAATCAGTTATTAGTCTAACTGAACATTTTTGGAAAGGCCTAATACCGCCCTTTCCCCCCAAATCATTTGTCTTCTTAACCATATATATAATAGATCAAGCTGTATCATTTTTGCCCCTGCATGGGATGTTGGTCTGCCTCTATGAGGATTTATGGAGATGCTACTTAATTTTGTAGTAATATTTGATTGAAGATTTAGTCCTTGAGTGGATATGAGTGACTTACCAGTCAATAGAATGACTACTTCTGAATCTTACTTTAATGGACCAATATTTCTGACAGTTCTGGGTTGCCTGGTTCTATTTCAGATGACAAGGTATAATTATTATTATTATTTTATTTTTTAAAATATATTTTTATTGACTTCAGAGAGGAAGGGCGACAGGGAGAATATAAAAACATCAATGATGAGAAAGAATCATTGATCGGCTGCCCCACAACTGGGGGGTTGAGCCTGAAACCCAAGCCTATGCCCTGACCAGGAATCAAACCATGACCTCCTGGTTCATATGTCGATGCTCAACCACTGAGCAATGCTGGCCAGACTATAATTACTTTTTTATGACTCATGCAGTCTGCTTCATTTTAGAGATATTTGATATTATTGTAGATGATGCTCTATGACCCTAACTATAGTTTTAAATATTCCCTAGCTATCTTTTAAAAATTGTTCTTGTACAATCTCTGTTACTTTGTAAAATCAAGGATACTTGCGTTGGGGATTGTAGGGGAGATGAATCTGAGAGAAGACTATAGGCCAAGTGGAGCTCAGAAGAACAGGCACAAGAAGCGAAGGTAAAGCGTTCAGGTGTGCCATGCTGGGCACGTCCTCTTGAGAGCGCTGCTCTGGTGACTTGTTCTCTTTGCTGGAACTATAGCAGCACAGGGGGTAATAATTTGGACCTGAATTCAGTAGGTGGAGAAGCAGTCATTGCTAAAGTGGGTACTGGCATTGAGGTAGTCACTAGCTGATCCCAGAGAGCGAACATACTCTTGGCTTCTCCCAAATACGATCCTGCCGTGCCTTAGCTGCCATTGCCTTGTTTTAAGGAGCATTAGTCCAAGTTGCAGCTTTTTTTTTTTTTAAACATATATATTGTTTTTCTTGTTTGCCTGGGTTGCCTTCTTCTGTAGGTCACCACTGTGAGCCCTATAATAACCCTGCAGACTTCTTCCTGGATGTCATTAATGGAGACTCCTCTGCTGTGGTATTAAACAGAGAGGTCGAAGATGGCGAAGGTATGTGAATCTGTCAAGAGTCACAGATTATTGCCTAATTGAACTGCCTGAAGTTCAGCAGTATGGCAGCTCATTGAAATGTAGTTTTGTGAATTTATATAATATATAAATTTAATGCATATAAATTTAATGATGCCCTCTGATACCAGTTGTCTTAATCCATTTGAGCTGTTGTAACAAGAATACCGCAGGCCAGGTGGCTTAAACAATAGTCATTTATTTCTCACAGTTCAAGTGCTAGGAGATTGTTGTCTCTTGGGGCCCCAAGGCCTGGTTAATAGCTGGACTACCGTCTCCTTGCCTGGTGGAAGTGGAGAGGGGACTCTTTTAAAAGGGCACTAATCTCATTCAGGAGGGCTCCACCCTCATGATGTAACCACTCCTCAAAGTCCCCACCTTCAAATAACATCACATTTGGGATAGAGTTTCAGCATATAAATTTGGGGGGAATACATGTATTCAGTCTTTAGTATCAGTCAACACAGATTTTGTTGCCCATGAGTGCTGTGATATGATAGTGTCAGTTCTAAGGGGAGTTTTCATAAAAAATAAGCTAATTTTTAATACATTGTTTTGAAAGAAGAAACTTAGCTACTTATGCATTTGCACATAGTAGAAAGCAGGGACCAGTTTTTATATTAAGAAATATAGCTCTCTGTGGTAAGATTTTTATTTTAAAACAATCAGAGTACAAATACTACAGTTATCAGTGGGTTTGCTCTTTCTATAAGTGTATAAAAGTAGTCTGGCAATTAACTGTTTTTCTAATGTGTAAAGCAGTGACAGGTTTAATAATTTTTATATTTAAACTTATAATTAAGGTGTTAGGGAAGAATCCAAGAAATGGATTCCAGAAAAATGGGCTAAATCAGTTATTTTGTTAATGTTTCTCCCTGCCCATTTTTATTCCAAGTCAAGGAGACTGAAGAGCCTTCCAAGAGAGATAAGCCACTCATAGAAAAACTAGCTGAGTTTTATGTCAACTCTGCCTTCTTCAAAGAAACGAAAGTTGAGTTAGATCAACTCTCAGGGGGTCAGAAACAGAAGAAGAAGAGCGTAGCCTTCAAGGAGATCACCTATGCCACCTCCTTCTGTCATCAACTCAGATGGATTTCCAAGCGCTCCTTCAAAAACTTACTGGGTAATCCCCAGGCCTCCATAGCTCAGGTAACCTAGACAGATTCTTCTAATTATGCTGCGAAATACTCATGTGGGGAATTAGATTCTGATATAGTCTATTGCAGATTATACTTTTCTTCTGCCCCACACTTCCACCTCACTCCATTTGGGATATGGAAATAGTCAATAGAATAAACAAAGCACAGTTAAGTTTTTAACTGTGGATAACTTTTTTTTTAGTGTTTGTTAGTTTTTTTGACTACCTAATTCAGATATTTTGTTGATTTAGACAAGCTATAAGAGGTCATCTTTGTAACCCCCC